TATTATTATTATTTCTTTGCAAAACCACTTTGAGACTGGGAAAAGAAGCAGGAAAGGGATAGACGGGGAAAGAGTTAAACCCCTTTCTTAGGCTGCTTCTCAGTCCAAAATCACCCCTCTCCAGGGAGTGGGGTATGGACAGAGATCATTAGTCAGTCTATCACTACCTTTATTGGTGTTTAATCAGTAATCTAATTCTTCTATGTAGTTATTTCTTTGCAAAACCACTTTGAGACTGGGAAAAGAAGCAGGAAAGGGATAGACGGGGAAAGAGTTAAACCCCTTTCTTAGGCTGCTTCTCAGTCCAAAATCACCCCTCTCCAGGGAGTGGGGTATGGACAGAGATCATTAGTCAGTCTATCACTACCTTTATTGGTGTTTAATCAGTAATCTAATTCTTCTATGTAGTTGTAAGACATGCATAGAATACAGCAAAGATGGGGCCAGTCTGGCCTCCTGTGGGAGGGAGTTCCAGAGTCTGGGAGCAGTGACAAGAGAAGGCCCTCTCTCATGTCCAGCATCATGATTGCTATGCGGAGGGTATGGTTACACTCATATCCTGCTGATGGGCTTCCCATAAGCAACCAGTTTACCACTGTGTGAACAGAAGGTTGAACCAGCTGGGCCCCTGGCCTGAATCAGGAGGACTCTTCTCATGGTCTTATTGCTATGGGGAAGAAGACAGATGTATAAAGGGAAATGTGTACTTGGTCAACTTTGCATTGTGATTTACTCTATTTATCCCATGCTGCCATATCATTTTTTCAATAACCAGATGTTGTGGGAGTTGTATGTGGAACTGCATGAATTCAATGCAATGACTCAAATAACTGACATCATCTCCACATTAAACTGCTGGTGCCATCATGACTCCAGAGACATAATAAGAGTGACATGAAGTGGAAAGGGGAGCACAATAGACAGTCTCAAAAACAGTGTTTGCAAGTGCATCTAGAAACACTGTTGATGATTTATCTGTTTAATACAAGTAGGGTATAATTGGAAACATATTCTTAATGGGAAAAACAGCTCAAGGGAAGAGTCACAAAATTATAAAAGCAGCACAAAATACTCAGCAGGATTTAAAATTACAGCTAAAAACTCAGGAAGTAAAAAAATGTGTTTGCATGGCATCAAAAGGACACAAAAATAAGTGCCAAATGAACCTCCACAGGGAGAGCATTCCAAATTTATAATGCTGGACAGAATGTGCAATAGAAATAAAATATATATTCTAGCCACTTTGTGTTTATATTACAACTTGATTCAGGATGAACTAATCCAGGCTTCTCCGAAAATGCCTTTCTTGATCTTTCTAGCAATCTAGCTAGCTGTCCATCAATATCTTAAAGTAGATGTTCATATGTGGAACAGAATGTGTTTCTTTTGGCACTTGATACATAGAAATTATTAATTAATGAACAGTTGTATAGAATCTTACAATCAAATTTGAACTTTAATGCATTTTAACTCTGAATGGGTTGTTTTGTTCCATATGAAACAGGCTATTGGACTTGCAACCAAGTTTATTAGCTGAGGCACATCAACAGCTTCTTCAAAAAGGGAGAATGGCATTTGGAGGAGGAAGGGCAGGAGAAGGAGTTGGCCAATAAGATGGGCCAACTGAAATTGTGGGGGTGGAAACTCCTATTGTAGACAAAGCTATTGACAGGGAAGAGGGAAAGAAGAAATCTGCTTTCCGGGACTCTGGAAATAATTGTTATCTGTGTTGTGTTTTGTAAGCTGAACTAAGCTGAGAGCTATTGTGTGGAGAGAGGCTGCAAGGCACAAGAGAGAGATTGCAAGGCACAAGGCCGTGACCTTAACCGTCTACTGCTACCATTCTACAATACCCATGACACGTTTTTCTTTTTTGTATAAATGAGATTCCCATGGAATTAATTTCTTTACTTTAATACTGAATTATTTTAAGCCCTCCCCCACCATTAAAAAAAAACACTACAATTTGTGAACCTAGAAAATCTAACACTGATGGAATGGCCCTGGAATAAGTAAAACCAATTGACAAAGTATCTGTAAAGTTCCCACCGTTTTTCATACAGAGATTAATGTAAGAACATCAGACCAGACCAAAGGCTTATTTAGTCCAAAAGTGTGTTCCTGCTGAGAATCCCAGGACAAAACATTTATTTGAGATTCCTCATTCTCATAGCACTGGCCACATGACCATGGAAACTGTCTATGGACAAACGCTGGCTCTACGGCTTGGAAACGAGGATGAGCACCACTCCCTAGAGTCGGACACGACTGGACTAAATGTCAAGGGGAACCTTTACCTTTACCTATGTGCAGTAGTCTCAAATCTATCACCTCCCTTTGCTGCAGAGGTTTAAAACTGAAAACAAATGCACACACCAAGTTTAAAAAAAATCTTTAAATTAAAATAAGCAGAAATATATTTTTCTTGCCTACAGTTTCAAATAGTTCCTGAGACACAATGCAGAAGGATTTTTGTTTTCTTTTTGGAAGCCATTGGACCAGCTTCTCAAAGTGCAAGACAGATTGTAAAATGCACAGGGTGGGGCAATGAGAATCGAAAGAGACTCCTGCTATAAAATATAACCACTATGGTGTCTGTTTCATGGCCTGATTGAGCACACAGAAGTCGCCAGGGCTGGGCCAGCAGAGTGGGATTTAAAAAGGAATCAAACGTTTTATTTCTCTCTGGCAAGAGCCAGAGTCCGTCCCTCTTTCTGACTCTCATTTTTCACCTGTAGCATTGCCTGTTATGGGAGGACATATGGAACATTCTTTCTATTCCCTAAAATACAAATGCGATATCAATCAGCACAGAAGGGTATGTGTGATGTTTTTAACATGCCTTCCTATGACCTCCCTCCCGTCTCCCTACTGGGCGGAGAATGGTGGAGGGTGCGGCTTCTTGGGTGGCTGCTGTCTCTTCCCCAGGGACCTTCGTGAGCACATGGCCCGGCTCGGTTAGGTCTTGGAGGATCTCCCTGAAGTGGACCAAGCCAGCTTCTGCATCTCCACAAAAAGAAAGCATCAAGTTCAGGCATCAGGGTGAGGGGGAGCAGATCCCACCTTCAGCTTTTTTCCTGTTTAACAGGGCTGACTTGAATCTCTTCTCACCACTGACCCCCCATCCCCAAATGAACCCCTCCTCCTAGCAAAACAAGCAGGCCTACAGACTGTGGTAGGCAACCCAAACTTCCTCCATTGCCTGTTTTCCTCCCAGTGTCCTCCTCCCATCCAGACTGTGGGACCCCTTGTTCTCTGAGACTTACCCGTAACCTTTATCATCCCCCCACTACACACCTTGCTCTTAGTTTTCTAGAGGCTGCCTCTACAATCATCATGAGAACCCTCCTCCCTCCCTCTTGTTCCTCCCATCCTGCCTACCTGATTATTCCCTTTGCCCTTCTCTTCTTCGGCTGGAATGGGGGACTGACGTCCTCCCTCAAAGCTGCCCCCTCCACCCTGGCAGCTATATGGGGAGAAGGGAGGAAGGGGGCATTTGGAGCAGCTAAGCACACGAGTTTATTGGTGGCTTCCCTTCCCTCACCTTATTTGCCCCCTTCAAAATTGGCTTTTCTTGGTTCAAAGGGGCTCTCGGGCTGGTGTGTCCTGTATTTGCTCATACTGTAATGTCTTGTACATTTTACATATGGCTTGAACGTCCGCAGGAGGTGGTTCGGGGTGGGGGTGGGCAGTGGAGGGGTATGTGAGCATAACTAGGCCACCCAGTAGCCAGAATCCTATTGTTGTCGGTGTATACAGTGGTGCCTCGCATTACAATGTTTATTCGTTCCAGCGAAACCGCTGTAGAATGAAAACATCGTAAAGTGAAATTC